ACCAACATAGCCGTTCGTATATACTCCCCAGGACGCATTGCCCACAGTTCTATGGGAGCCCCGGATCCACCCGACCCAGTCGTGTTTGCTGATTCCTCCTGCCAACGTAATCGTCCTGGATCTGTGGTTGTGGCTGGTGGTGAAGTCCCCCAGCAACACCTCTTAGGCAAGTATACGTATGTTAGAAACGCTATCTTGACTAATTGCTTTACAAGTTCCAGTAACCCTCGGAGTGCCATTTAAATCAGCTCCAATACTTCTGATCTTCCTGCTAAGCTTGTAATTCGTGGCCGGGATTCCAATTCCACTGCAGTAATGGCAGATAACTCCTTTACGCTGTCAACCCAACCGGTGTCACGTGACAACATCCTCTGTTGTCCGAATTCGGACAAAGTACACCCTCAAATTCATTTGACACCACCAGGACGCACTGTATACAGCACTTTGGAAGCCCCTGAGCCACTCGACCAAGTCGTGTTTGATGCTGTTTCCAGCCATCGGAGCCGTCCTGGTCCTGCGGTTGAGATCGGTGAAGGGGTCTTCCAGCCTGTGTTGCCAGGCAAGTATTCTACACATCAAAACAGCCTGACATACATTCGCGTTGCAGTTTACCTGAGTGGAATGGTGCATCTTCTGGTCTCACCGCACCCAACGTCGCCGATATATCGTCTGAGCTACACCTGTACTACCAAAATGTTCGACTAAAATTGATCAAGCTTTTCTTGCAACCACCCAATTGGATTACGACGTGTACGTGTTCACAGAGACTTGGCTGGACGATCGTATACAATCTTGCCAGCTATTCAACAACGACTACTGCGTCTATCGCGTTGACCGTTGCGCCTCCAACAGCTTGCGTCGACGTGGCGGAGGCGTACTAATAGCCGTGAAGCGAAAGTACGCTTCTTCAGTTGTCCAGCTTACAAGCAACATTGAGCAGCTGTGGGTGAAAGTCGCTGTCGAACCACTACCTCTGTTTGTTGGTGCACTGTACATGCCGCCAGATAAAAGTCAGTACCAGAATTTTGTTCAGCTTCATGTAGATGCCATCTTTGAAGCAAACAGGCGGCATATCGATATGGGTGAGCTCGTTTTGTTCGGTGATTGCAATCAACCTCGTCTGTTCTGGAAAAGTTCGAGCAGTGGATACGCCTTCGCTGATCCGATACTGTCACAGACTTCAATGGCCAGTCAAATTATTCTTGATAGTATGGCATTTCTTGGATTGAGGCAGCGTAATTTAATTCGAAACTGTTCTGACCGAGTACTAGATCTAATATTTTCGAACGATTCAATTATGACTACGGTACCGTAACATTAGCAGCTGAAGAAGTTGTGCCAATTGATCGCTATCATCTAACTCTCTCTTTCTCTGTGGTTTGTGTGCCTCCTGTATCATTTCATGAAGATGTTGACCTTTCTGAGCGTAACTTTCGTCGAGGGGATTAGGATAACTTGAATGAACTGCTGTCGTAAGTTGATTGGTCTGAAGTATACCAAAGCCATGACGTCGATAGCACCGTCAGCTCCTTGAATCGTATTTTGCATAATTGCATCATTCAAACTGTACCGCTAAAAAGGCCCCCAAGGAATCCTGCTTGGTCCAATGCGCATCTTCGCACCCTGAGTCGACGGCGCGCCAAGTTACTGCAGCGATATTGTCGTCAACGATGTTTGTATCTAAAGCACCAGTTTGACGAAGCTAGTCGAATCTATCGTTTTTTGTACAAAATGTACGTTAGACGGAGACAAGATGATCTTCGGCGAAACCCGAAACGGTTTTGAAGCTTTGTAAATTCAAAACGTAAGGAGAGTGGATTGCCGACTACGATGCACTTAGGAGATGTTCATGCTCTTTCTGCAGAAGCAAAGTGCGAGCTTTTCTCTCAAAAATTTACTAGCGTGTTTGAGAATCGTATTCCAACTGTGAAGGAGATAGTTGTAGCTATTGAGCTGGTACCAAGAGACGCGGTGGATCTTGATGTATTCAACATCAACACAGCGACGGATGAATCAGCTCTACAGAAACTCAAGCAGTCTTATCAACCTGGCCCGGATGGCATTCCTTCGTGTGTATTCAAAAAGTGTAGTGCACTTTTGGTTGCTCCTCTTCAAGTAATTTTCAACCAATCATTGCAGCAACAGTGGTTTCCTTCTACTTGGAAGACCTCCCATATGCTTCCAGTGCACAAGAAAGGTGATAAGTCAGATATTTCTAACTACCGTGGGATAACTTCGTTGTCAGCTGGATCTAAGTGCCTCGAAATCATCTTCAATGAAGTACTGTTCAGCTCTTGCAGGAACTACATCAGTGCCTCTCAACACGGATTCTACCCCAAACGATCAGTGGAAAGCAATCTGTGTGAATTCACCTCTTTTTGCATCGGCACAATGGACGATGGAGCTCAGGTTGATGCTGTATACAACGACATAAAGGCTGCTTTTGACACCGTGAACCACGATATTCTTCTTGCCAAGCTACTTCGACTAGGCGTTTCCAGCAGAGTATGAAATTGGCTTCGTTTGTACTTAAGCAACAGGCAACTCGTTGCTAGAATTGGATCAACAGTGTCTGCTCCGTTTCCTCCGTGCTCTGGTGTGCCTCAAGGTAGCAACCTTGGTCCATCGTTATTCGTATTATTTTTCAATGACGTGACGATCCTTTTAGCAAATGTGGGACTGCTGATTTATGCAGACGATTTGAAAATTTATCTCGTAGTACGAAATGAAGCCGATTGCAGGCAACTTCAAGAGTTACTGGATCGATTCGCTCATTGGTGCAACTCCAGCTTCCTTAAAGTGAGTGTATCTAAGTGTTGCATCATATCGTATCGGCGGTGCAAAAAGCCTATTCTGTACAACTACACGATCGATGGACAGGAACTTGAGCGCGTTGATAAAGTGAAGGATCTTGGAGTGTTGCTGGATCACCAACTCACATTCAAGATGCATTATTCAGCTGTTGTTGACAAAGCCAACCGTCCATTAGGATTCATTCTAAAAATCGCGTAAGACTTCACTGATCCACTTTGCTTGCGTGCTCTTTATTGTTCTCTAGTTAGATCAATACTAGAATTTGCATCGGTTGTTTGGTCACGGTATGAAGCTGTGTGGATCTCCAGGATCGAATATGTGCAACGTAAATTTGTCCGGGCTGCACTACGAAGTCTACATTGGTGTGACCCAGTAAACCTACCGCCTAATGAGCATCGTTGTGCCTTGCTGAATATCGAACCGCTGGTAAGATGGATCAAGCTGTATTTGGAGCTAAGATACTTTGCGCAGAGATTGATAGTTCCGCCTTACTGAATCGTATGAGGATTTATGCCCCAGAGCGAGTGTTGCGGTCACGACAACTAATCCAACCAACTCCGAGGCATACTTTATATGGCTCCAATGACCCTTTGAACTCTATAAGCAGACGGTTTCAAGAAGGGTATCATGTTTTTGATTTTAATATGTCTACAAACACTATTAAACAACGTTTGCGATCTCTGCATATATTTAATTAAACTAGGATTAAGAATATTTCATTAAGACCACGATGTCAGATGATAGATAACAATAATAAATAAATAAATAAATAAATAAATAAAAAAGTTCCGTAAGCTTCAGAGAAAGATCAAAGAACTTCAATACAGTTCAACTGCAAAAACTTTTTAAAAGTTCTGCGATCTTTAGCGTAGATCAAATATTTCCTTAGAAGTTCAGAGGAATTAAGGGAAATTTGATTGATTGAGAAGTTTAGATTAGTTTGGGGGAAGGTCAGATAACTTTAAAGCAGTTATATTAATTTCAAGAAGAGCATTTCAACTGAAATATTGGCACAGCCACCTGATTTGTATGGGTCAATTATTTAGGGTGCATGTTATTGTTTCGCAAAATATGGGCTGCCTTCATTTTATAATTCAAACATAAGCATTTAAATTTAAAAAAAATAACGTAATAAATCGAAATTAAATGTTAAATGTAAGACACTACAATTAGATATGGCTGACAATAAACTTCCCAGTGAAGATCATTTTACTATAATGTGTAAGACTGTTAATATGAACAAGCGAGACTCATGGAATCCAAATGTGTCACAAGTGTGTTCATGAATGGTTCAGATTAACGTGTGGATTTTTTTTTTAAAGTATGGAAGATGAATATATTTTCAATAAGGGTGACGAGATCTACCGATTTTCAGCTTTCCATCCGATTCACAGGCAAATAGATGAAACAGAACGATTTATCTTATTTCCATTTCCTAGGCATTGAGAAAGTTGATGTAAGTTACATATTTATTCTTAAAGAATTCATAATGCAGTTTTTTTTTCACAAATGTTTATCATTATAAATAATTGCCATTTTTTAATTCGATTGTTGGAATATAATGATAATGATGATTAAAATCGCATAAGAATGTCTCCAATATTCCATGCCACTTGAGAACTGTTTCGCATGTACCCTACAGATGTACAAGTACACAAGTTTGTGTAAGCTATACTAGTGCTATAGTCTATGCAGACTTTGATTATTTCTAAGATGTCTCTCCTCTGGTGAAGCACTGGTGACCAGTTGAAATGCCTTAAATAACTCGCATAGCTAACACCGACCGCCGTTGATGATGGCACGGACACATACAAACTCAAACTCTCACACACAAGACTCACGCTTTCAGAGTCAATATTGTCCCAACCACCAGACAGCAAATAAATCCTAGAAAAAGTGACGTGAATGTGACAGTGTCAATAAGCGAAAGCTTCTATTTCCCTGGGCCAATCACGGCAGAGATTTTCCCAGCATAATGTGGATTTCAAAACTCCAAGGAATTGGTGTCACTATCTCCATAACATGGATGGTGTCAGTAGAAGCCTAACCAAACGTATACAATTACCCATCCGTAAAAAAAAACACTATCATCAATTAAAACCATACCAAAGCCCTGATCGGAACATTTTCCAACATAACAAATACAACTCTGAAAGGAAAATCTCTTCACTTTCCAGTCCACTTACCCGGACGATGATTTGATTTCGACCTCAGGCCAGGAGGGTCGTCGCTTCCACAGCGAAAAGGAGGGCTTGTCCGGTGAGGTCGGATTGATCGGAGAGTTACGTCCTCGGAACGAACCGGAACGCCCGGGGGGAACCAACGTGTCCAAGCCTCGAGCCGACGACTGTCGGCGCATCGGAGAGGTACTGCCCACCGCTCCGCCGGCAGCTCCCACTGCACCGACACCGCCTGCTCCCCCGGAACCGGCCACTGTGAGGTTGGTGCTGCTGCCAGTTCCACCGGCACTTGTACCGATGCCACCGCCACCGCCGACGCCACTTGATGCCCCACTGATTGAGCCTCCGGGTCCGGACGGTGTCACCACTTTGGGGTAGCCTGGAGAGAACATATATAACATAGAGAGAGAAAGGAATGAGTGTGCATTAGATGACGATGACACTTCAATTAAGAACTTGGAAAAACAAAGGCGTAACGATGGTGCTTGGGATGAGCTTCGGACGAGTGTGTTGTTTGGTTAGTGGGGGGTTTCACCTCCATTGGGCGGGGGTTGGGAAAGGTGTTTTCCACTGTGAAGAATGTATTGAGCATGTTGTTAGTTTTGTAGAAATTTGATCGGAAATGATTCAAGATGACCAGGTCGTATGGAGTCTTGTGTAGGAGTTGTTTAATGGTTGAGTCTATACGAAGGACACCGAAACATTTTTGCACGGAGGCTTGAATTGTATTGAATTAGAAACAGAAAAGCTATGGTGTTTTAAAACATATTTGAATAGTAGGATCAATCTCATGGTGTTATTAAATCTCTTTTTAATTCTTCTGCGATGCATTTCTATTACTTTTCCCGGAGATGGCTGGTGAATTTGAGTGGAATAAGTTCCATTTAGCTAGTGGCTTTGTGCCATAGAACCCTGTTTCACTTGAACCCGAACAGAAATTTGGCTCCGGAGGCTAAGTTTTCCCACTTTTTCTATAAGCAACTCTTCTTCACTGGATGTTCTTTCAAGTGCTCTTCATTAAAACAATTTAAAAATCAATAACACTTCGCAAACTTCCTTCTTAGTTGTCTAAAAACTTGCAATCTCAGAACTCCGATGGATCGCGAATCATAGATTGATAAACGCTGGACTAAGCTATCTGTGGTCCCCAACTCGATGATCCTTTCAATATCGGGTTAGGAAGAGTAGAATGTATGCATAAGATACGTTGTATATGCCGTCTTAAAGGCAACGACATTTTCGGTTTCATAAACACAGCATCTCCCAGGAGAAAAGAAGAATTCTTGGATCTTATTATTTTCGATTTCCCTCGCACAACTGTAGCTCACGCCCGGCTTTTTCCGCCACGCCACCGGTGCAAAAGAAATCATCGAACCTTTTTTTTCGAATCTCATCCATTGCACCGAGGAAGGAAATCCGACGACACTGCTGAGTTGAAGAAAGCAGAAACTTCATCAGGATGACTTTTGATTGCGAAGTCTCGCCGCGTCCATCATTATAGAAGCGTAGCTTCCACACCATCAGCATCATCATCATCATCATCAGCGTCATCATCGCATCGTCGTCGTCTTTCATTGCCATAATTTCTCATCGTCCCTAGGAGGGCAATTTTCGACCAAAATACAGGCCCGTGTTTCCTCGCCACCAATCAGACTACGGAGGGCGTCTGACGGGAGAGTAAAATCTGCGCCATCATGTTACATGCCATCATTTCCCGCTAGCACCACCCACTGCGTCCTCCATCTGAGAGGCACGTGCCTTTGAAGACGATTGAAGCCTGTTTTACTGCCCATTATGGGAGGTAAATATTACGGAATGATCCTGACAGAGATGAGAGGGCCCGACCGGCCGGTTCGGTGCGCTATAATTTGCACTGACTGACTGACTCTCGTCTCGATGCTCTGATGATGAAGAAGGAGCTCATTTTTCATGGTCCCTCCAACGATGCCAGATCTACGGATTTCTGTTCACGAAAAAAAGGGGACAACCTCTTTCAGTTTTATCTATTGAATATCAATTTAGATTTTCCATGAGAAAGAGGGTGAACAAAAACCCGTAGGTCTGGCATCGTTGGGTCCTTTCCACCCCCTCACACGTCGACAACGCAGGCAGTGTCCGGAATCATCTGACACGTGGACCGACTGTTGTGCTGCTTGTGGTGATGGAAACTTTTGCCAACAAGCTCGGACGGCTACGCCATCAGATTGCTGTTTATCTTGATTTTGCTTTGCAGTAATTTGAAGAGTGCTTTTCGAAACGTATTTCATTTTGATGGAATATAATTTCATTCATTAGGTAGATGAGTTTTGGGAAAATTTAATGGGCAAGAGCTTCTGAGCAAGTGCAATGAGTGCATAACAGTTTAAGCTGTTAACGATTCCTCTATTCAAGCAATTGTCAAATGGGCTGAGTTGTAACATACGACGGTATTCAGTTTTTTTTTTGCATTTCCGTTGAGGTGGTTGGAATTTTCTGGAACATGGAACATGATTGATGTTGAGCCAAGGAGCACAGTCTTTTCCGTGTTGCAGCAGCCGTTGAGTTCAATAAAACTGAACACCAGCGAGATTTCAGAAAGTCTAAGTAGTATCTATGCAGTTGAATTCGGCTCATTTTTTGAGTTACGATTACGTAAACTCGCAATGACGGAGATTAATTATAGAATAAATAAATTTTCTTTGATTTTCCTCAAAAATTTGCTCGAATATGAAGAAAATCCATGAACATTTTAATCCATCTATGAATACACCAGGGCTAAGCGGTGCCAGTGGTGTAGTGGTATGCGTGATTGCCTCTCAACCAAAGGGCCTGGGTTCAATCCCAGTCGCCACCGCCGGGTTTTTCTGAGGCATAATGATCTCTGATCATGTCTTCCTTCGAAAGGGAAGTAAAGCCGTTGGTCCCCGGTCCATGAGTTGATGGGTTGATAGCATTGATACTCAGTATGGAAAACAAGATCGATGGAAAACAAACCAAAGGAAAAAAAAAGGTTGTGTAGTCGGCTCTAAATCAACCGATTCCGACTACTCTGGTTTCAAAATAACCGACTTCTATCACGACTCCGACTCTGACTTCAATTCAAACAAAATACAATGAAAATTTAATTCAATGAATTCAGGATGTATGTGAGGATGCAATCTTTGCTATCAAATTCGTTCCAAGCATTTACCTTTGAGCGGCAGATGGCGCGATTGTACCTGTCTCATAGCGTTCGTATGAGAAAATGGAAGAGTTGCCAGTCTTCTTGTTTTGTTGTCTTCGATTTTATGCAACAATTTGGAAAATTAAGATCTTTTCAACACGAGTCGTAGTTTATCCAACGAGGCTTGCTTAGTTGGACAATTACGACGAGTGTTGAAAAAAAAACGAAAATTTTGTGTACTCAAGCCAGTATTGAAAACTAGAACTTTTCGGCACTGGTTGCTGAAAAGTAGTATTTTTTTGAAACTATTCTTTTAGTTATGAAAAGTAAGCTATTATGTTATTCAAAACAGTGTCGAAAAGTGATACTTTTCAGTAATGAGAGTTAAGAATGTTTTGTTTTTTTTCCTTGAGACGAACGCGAGTAATCGGTTCAATTCCTTTAACTCTAGATTTAAGACATCAATTATGTATAATACAAATGATAACTTGGCTCTGTAAAGTTTATTCGATTGAGCCTGTACAAATAAATTAGTACAAAACAAAAGTTTTTTGATCATATATTTCATATTTTCCGTCCATTTTTAGACATGTGGTAAGTGGCTTAACATATATTTTTTAAAGTAAAATTTCACCTTAACTTACAACTGTGAAAAATCATACTGTGGTTTGATCCCAAACATTTTATTGGTGACTTGAATAAATATTCTAATGAATTAAATATTCTATGATTTGTTCCTCCTCCTTTGAAAATGAAGTATTTCCTCCTTTCCAAAATATATCGCTATATTTCATTGATTGAAACCATTGTATCCAAATTTCCGAAACATTTGTTACCGGCGGGTAAAATTTTGTTTTCCATCATTAGATGTGGGGAGTAGGGCAAATAAAATTGTTAGTGTAGCTAACGGTCGATTTGAAGTGGGGGCGATCAACGCCCGACGGTATGGATCGCGTGTGCCGTCTGATAGCAGTAGGTAGCTGATAGCGCTCTAAGCGGGAAAAGTGGTCTTATACATTCAAGAGACCTTAACTGTCAGTTAAACTGTCAAGCAGAAGTTAGGGTCTCAAAGAATTCCCCACTACGCCAAACCTATTAAATATGATCAATCCTAGATCCTATGATGATCAGTTTTGGTGTGGTTTTCGAACCTGACAACAAGGCAAATCGCGTTAAACCAATCACAGTTTGAATTTCCATGTGGGGTCTGCCTCAAGTACAAATCAAGTACCCATGGTTCCTTCAGACGATTTAAGATCCATTACATTTGCCTGTAGATGAAATGCAAATAGAAAGGTACGTCATTCTGTTCAATAGCCTGAGGTCTGAGGTATAATTTAGGACCCAAAAATGTGAAAATTCGGGAACAGCGATGCATCTCCATAATTGGTGATTTGCGAATAGCTAATCAAAACTGTAAACTGTAGCGATGAAGTGACATCAATTTTCAGATTATTTAGATCTTCCTTGAAAGCGAGAAATAACCATGAGTCTGAAAATGCTACTGCCACCCCAAACATAGTTATAATTATTGCTTGGAAAATTCCATCTTCAATCTATTACGGAAGACATTAATGCGACGGTTTCCCTAATGAACGGATGATTTGAAAGTTCTTACCAAATTTAGAGGTCTTAAATTGTTGGAGAGGTCCATATCAATGAACATGAGATTTCAGTGATAGTTTCGTAAATAAGCTCAAATTTTGTAATTGATATAATAAAGCCCTTCAAACATCATTTTATTTGTCCTTTCAATTCCTCACTAGAATAGGAATTGACGATTTGCGCATTATTTTGGAATTACTTCAATTAATCATTTTGTCAAGCTTTCCATCATTGTCACTGCTTTATTTTCCATCAGATGTCACTGCTGTTGTTGGCGGTGACTTTTATCGGAAACTACACATAATTTGTTTTCCGTTAATTGTTCACAGAGGACAGTGCAGTGCAAAACATGTCTGGTACCTCTATATATGAATTTAGATTAACATCCAAAGTCCCTCCATTTTTACACATTCTGCACACAAAATAGCTCACCCCTCACAAGATTTCCCACCGATTTCCATGAATGGGGCGGGGCAGAAAGTATCTTTTGTACGGAATATGTAAAAAAGGATGGACTTCGGATGTTAATCAGAATGCATATTTTGAGCGAGATTTAGAGGTACCACACATGTTTTGCAATGTCAGGTAGGCTATTTTGTAGTCTGTGAGAGGGAAATCACAAATAGAGTGTC